ATACAGACAACTATAGTAAACATAGATACTAAATGATTGTGCCCCCTCAATAAAGAGGTCTGATGACTTTTTTTTCCTTGTCAGGAAATTTTTGGTAGTGCCCCATCAACTGTCAACTGAAAAATGTATGGCTGTGCCCCCCCAACTGAAATTGCTTCCTACGGGCCTGTTTTAAAGAAAATGAAGGAGGTGGAATATGTATAATACATTTTTCAATATATTTTGAACAAACGTCGAAAAAAAGTCGGATTTTCCTTGATCAAATATATTTAAATACGCACAATTAACTGGCTTCAACTATTTTAGGTTTAAAACTAATATGTCTTAAATTTACATACACTGAACAATTTGTTTCTGTAGCAGATTATTTTCAAATCAGGGCTCTTTTAGGCGTCACAAATTACAAGCACGATTGATACTGTTACAAATAAGCACAGAGATAATTATGTGTATATTAACTAATCTAGAGTACATGTTTTTGTATACATTGAAGTTGGGTAAGTATTACACTATAGTATAGATGTGAAAGTAATATTGATAGTTGAAATCGTTCTACCAAGTCACAGGTGCTAGGGGACGGGACCCCCCCCCCCCCCCCCCCCCGAACCGTACCCTAAGGGTTCTTTGACTTTTTTAAAATAAAATATTTCTCTATGACACATTCACAAAGTATTACAACTGAAAAATTCAAAATATAACCTAAAATTAGTCTTTTATAAAAATTCACTCTCTGATACTAAAAGAGAGTTCTCAAAACATATCACGAGGCGATGCAAAAGTACTAATTATTACATTACATAAAGTGTTTTTTAAACAATTACACATATTTACACATTCTAGATATTTAAAGAAATTTTGTAATGTGACTGAATGATTAAAATATGGTTGTGTGCACGTGCACTTTTTCTTTAAATATTATGTAATTAATAGTCAAAGTAACCCTCTGTGCTCTTCAAAGCTGAGCTTCTAATAGGTATAAAGAAAAAAAAACTGACTTCATTTCCTCTGGAAAGTACGTGAGAAGGGTCCACATGTTTCCATTCCCATGAAATATTGATTTCACAATTGTTTAGTTCCCCTTTCCTTTGGGTGTGTATGTTTCTCTTCTTCATTTTTTATTTTGGCTTGTCAAAAAAAAAAAAAAAAAAAAAAATGGAAACAATTTTTTCAGCAGGTTTGATCCACCCTGCCCCAGATATTTATCCTTCCTTGATTCCTTGATCTGCCCTTGTAAAGACTATAGCATTTCCATGATTTTTACTTCATCGGATTTTATATGCATTATTGCTCTTACATGTATGGATGCTTACACATGAGAGAGAGAGAGAGAGAGAGAGAGAGAGAGAGAGAGAGAGAGAGAGAGAGAGAGTATACTTGTATTGAAAATGCAAAAAATATTTATCCATAATCTTGCAGTTAGGTTTTCAAGAAATCCATAAACTATCTTTTAAGATTTTCTTAAAATACAAGAAATTGAATAATTACCAAATTTTAGACTTCCTATACATGCATATAAAACAGGCACGTAGCACCGTTTCCTAAAATGTGTGTATGCGAGGTGGAGGGGGGGGGGGTGGCAGTAAAATGATTGACAAGCAAAAGAAAAACTTTATGCACTTAAAAATTGGGGCAAGTGAAGAAGGAAAACAGGCATTAAAACAAAAAACTCCGTAGTCAGGGGAGGGACAGATTCCATTCATACTATCATTTTCGGCAGAAAAATATTTGAGTACAATGTACAATAATGTTGGATGAGTGTGTGTGTGTGGGGGTGGGTGGGTGGTCTTAAAATAAAAAAATTCTTAAAAACTCAACCGTAAAAGACAGGCCTGTAGAACGCGTGGTTGGGGGATGCCCCCTCCCACTTTTTTCCGAGCATAATGGTTAACTGTTTAGAATGAAGTACACACTAAAAGGCTGATCCCCTCCACTTTTTGTTGCACTATAGTCAAATCCTCGAAAAAGTCCCCCTCCCCCACAAAATAGGATTTTACAGATTTTTTATTTTAAAATTTTTTAAAAAAATTTTATTTTTATTATTATAATTATTATTAATATTATTATTTTTTTCCTTGTAAAAGATTTTTCAGGTTAAGCGTCAATCATTTCTTAGATGCTACGTGCCTGAAAGATATTCTCAGAAAGCCCCCCCCCCCCCCCCCCCCCGCCGCCGCTTCACGTGTGTGTATATTTGTTAATCTTTGTTCTGGTTAAATGCCTTCATGGTGTTCTAAATAATTTTCTTACACCAAATTACTCAGTTTAGTTTTTAAATAATCAGCAATCAGACTTTTTTTTTTTAGTGATTTCTCAATTTTTAACCAGTCGCGCAAATACTAATTCCATTTTTCACTTTTGATATTTTCCCTGACCAAAATCTGATCAGCACGGACTAAGTGTATTTGAGTGCTTGGCTGTACGACGAAGTGACAACGTATTTGCTGTTGAGAATTTATGGAGTTTATTACTTTTTTTGTGATGCATATTTCAATAAATGGAATACAAGGTGTAAATCACTCGGCATGTGCACATCTTCGAACGGGTACAGTGGTCTATTTCCAGGTATGAATACGTTTACAGCGTTCGACGTGTTCTCTCGATATGCATCAATTGTATTTGAATGCATATGGACATGCATAGCAAATACGCTGGCTGTTTGTTCCATGATAATTGCAAATTGCTTGTTTTACTGTGTATTATTTCAAGTTTATTATGCATATATTGGTATGCTTTAAAAACACGCGCAACTATGTTTTTTCTTCCAAACTTGCATATATATTATTCAAAACGATAATTAGTCATGAATATCTTTATGACTGTTTTTATCTGTTATTGTTTTAAAATGTTTTCATCAATTCATGTGTTCCCAAATACTTTGCTATCGGAGATGTGCACGCGTCCGTAGCCAAACCAAAAATTCACTCAAGTGTAACGAGTGCAGTGGAGTATATATCGTTACAATAAGACAAGGTATCTGAAAGAAATATGGCGGCTAGTTGATATGAAACAAGTCGTACATTGATGCAAATGTTGCGTTTTTAAGAATTCATGTCAGCTTTAAAACCGGCCTGACAGCCGTGACCAGCTATTCGTAACGACTATACGATGAGAATGAACCTATGGTACACCATAACCAACACAATCAAATTAAACAAAATTGTGACATGTATTTTCTACTAACTTTTCGAAAAATTCAGAAGAAACATATATGCTTTATCTGTAAATGTGCCTTTTACGTAAAGTTCATATAACAAGGAACTAATTACAAATTGTAGTTTCACGTACATAAGCCGAAACTATATATTTTTTAAAGCAAATGTTGCAAATTTATATCTCAACAAATATCAATTGAAACAATGAACTCTACTGTTTTGTGGAGTCATACTGCACATGGAAAGACTGCAGGTTAAAAAATTAGATTAAAATTGGATTTAAAATTAGATATAAAAACGGAAAAAAAGTTCAATGATATCACAAAAGCAGATGCTGTCAGGGCCAATCCTCACATTTTTTTGTATTGATTAACACTGTTCTTTATGTTCAACCAGTATAGTTCTTTATGAGTCAATTGTATAAAACATACTCTATGTCTTTGAAGACTATTAAAACCTCTATATATACCTACAAGGTAATTTAAAATGTTTTCCTTAGATGGCAGATACAAAATGAGGAGTAAATCTGTACATGTATACATTGACTGATTTGATAGTTCTTCACAGTTCTCTTTACAGTTCTCGAAATAAAACAAAACATTTCTCTTAGGCTCTTATCCTGAAAAAGGGTGAAGACAGCAAACAGTGATCGATCTCATAAAATCTTCAGACAATACAAATCTGTGAACAAGTCATAAACACGGACCCCTGGAAATTCCAGAGGTGGGATCAGGTGCTTAGGAGGAGTAAGCATCCCCTGTTGATCGGTCAAATCGCCGTGAGCCCTATGCATTGATCAAATAAGCGGTACATTCCGTAGTCAAATTTAGTATAAAAACAAAGGTCTAACAAAAAGTAGGAAGCAAGTCAGCCAAAATACGACCCAGTAATAGATTATATTTGCTTATAAGGTCATTATAGCGACCATTAAATCTACGGAATGCGGACTTTAAACGAGGTAAGGAATTCCCTGTAACATCAACTTATGTGTCCTGAAAAAACCTTAACAGATAAAAACAAATTCTTTAAAGAAGAGGACTATTGAATGATGAATTTCACTCGTAGTTTGTTCGATTGTGAAATCTGTGACAATCAGATAAGAAAGGGAGGTGAAAATGTTCACAAAACATTTTCAAATTTGACCAAATCGTGATCCTCTGTGCAGGAAGAAAGGTGGTGAACAGTACTTTTATAATATCATACAATACTAAAAAGAGATTAAAAAATCCTTTCAAGAAGAACAAAATAGATAATGTCTAAAATCATAATGAAAATACAATGTGGATTTATTTATTTTTTTTTTTGTTCATTTCATTTTCCTATAGACAGGTTTACAAATGAAAAAAAAATGAATGGAAGCAAATCTCTTTATCTTGAATCTGGAAAAATTGTCTTGCGGTGCAAATTGTGGCACAAAAAGCCCTCTTTCACACAGTATGCTCTCTATATCAGATTTCTAAAAAAAAAAAAATACATGTAGGTGAAAAATAGCATGGAAATCTTTTACATATAGTGGTTTTCAAATCATAATTTCATTTTTTCGCTCCTTAGCCATTGCATTTAGGGCATGACCTTGATTTAAGTTGATGACTTAAAGGTCAAGATTATTGAAGGGTTTGAGTGAGAATTTTTATTACCTCTACATGTGTTCAAAGGTCATATTGCGATTGTTCATTTCTTTTCAGTAGATCACAGATTTAATTCAGGTATAAAATATGTCAATAATCGACCTGCCTCTTGTCTTTGTCAATCTATACATTAGACTTGCAGGTAACTGTTACAAAATTTTCAATCTAAACTTCATAACCATAGGGTCACTATATGTGACATTTTTGTGTTTCTGTCACTATGCATCGATTTCCTCGAGTTTTGATGTGGATTACTTTGTCCTTATTTATAGCTGGAAGTGTTCATGTTTCGAGTAAGTGAAATTACTTAAATCTTTCTAATGGCAATTTGTCATAACGAGTAAAACTGGCATAGTAGAAAAACGTGAATTAGATAAAAAATGGCTTCGCCGTTTAAATATTTTTGTATCTTACAAATAATATTTTTCTTCATTTTTCATAGCAATATAACATTTGGAACCATCAAACACACATTCAAATCTATACATTTGAATTTCTTTTTACTTTTAATAAAGTTCTGCATATTTAACACGATAAACAAAGTTTCTTGTTTCTTTAACAGAGTATGTGTTTGTTCTCTATAAATATGATGACGTTCCTGCTACATCATTGACTCAAACAGAATATTTTGATAACATCGATGATGATGAAGACGATGATTATAATGATGCAAACGGTGGTCAAAACGATGATGATGATGATGACAATAATATTGAGGACGATCTATGTTCCAGCTTTCCTTCAAATGTATGTGATTAAAACAAAATAATTATTTATAAAAATGGAAATGAAAAAGTGGTAATAGTAACAATGTTAAAAATCAATCCATTAAAAATTTTGAAACGGATTATGTTGATTAAGTATATTACTTAAATGTAATGTTAGAAAGGCGAAGCTATGTTTACACCTGAATCGGCAACACACTTAAATAGTCATCTTTTTCATTCATTTTTTAAAGATATGTTTATTATGATACATTTACATTTGCAGACATTTTCCCTTATATAATACAATTTGAGCAAGGCGTATTTAAGTCAGTGTAATGTATGAACAGGTTCGTAACCTGACCATAAATTCATTGTTTAGTCATAATTTCATAGTGAGTGGTCAACTTGTTCAGCACATTTAATTTATAGCACTGAGGTTTGGAAAAAATCATTTGTGGTTTTAAAACTATAATACCTAAATATTTGCTAAAACCAGTAACAAATGTAAATATAAGTAATAAGGCATCAAAACGTTTAAACGTTTATCGGGATGAAAATATAGGCTGGTACATGATCAAATCTACCTTCGGGCTCTATGGGATTTAATCACATGATCAACCCGTAAAAAGTTCAAAAAATGATACTTTATTTCTTAAATAAATCCTTGCGTACGTTTATCTTCATACAAAAATGTGCGAACCTGTGAATCCTTTTTGAATGACAAGAGGAAGCTTTTGTAAAATAAGAACAGAACAAGAAAGGGAATAAAAAGAAAATGAAAAGCTAAGTTTATTTTCAAAATAAAAATGATACCAAGGATTAAGTAATAACCCTTAGCTTATTTAAAGATGTTTACAAATATGCATTCCTGTTGTGGGACGAAGTATCCTGGCTTGGAGACGTATGTACACCCTTGCCCAACTCAATTAAACTTACATCCGACTACTTATCAAAATTTATTTTTAAGTGAAAGTTGAATAATTGTATACAAGCTTTTGCCATATTTTAATTTTTTATATTATTGGGGTATTTAAATGAGAGAAAGCTTAAAAGAACCTTCAACGTGCTTCAGTTCCTGTTCACTGTGCATTAAGCTTATGACAAATATGGAATCGAGTCATATTACATATGTACATGTCATCATATAGAGTGCATGAAATTCCTCTTCCTAAACAAAACCGTTATTCATTTATCAATTCATTCCAAGTATACCTTACTTACAATAGTATATAATGCAAATTCATTCCCTCTTTCTCAATTCTAGAATTTTTTATGTTAAAAAAAAAACTAGGAATGTCAAAATCACAAAATCATTTAGTGGCATAATTCTACAATTATTCGAGTATTCTAACAAATTTGAATATTTTAAGTTACTTACATGTATTGCATGCAAATGCCGGAAAACTAAAAATATATCTTTTTAAATTCTGATATGTTTCTGGCGAAATTGTTTGACACTCACCACTTAATTTTGCATAATTATAAGGGTTGATTGGTTTACGTAAACATTGAATATGAAGTCAAATGCACCCAAAAGTTTTACAAGAGACAAATTCCTGACAATTGATCATCCCTAACATAATTTTATTTAATAAAAATGTAAATTACTCAACGGAAGATTCATGATAAGACTATAAAATAAATTGAAAAAAAACCATTTGTTTCAACTTGTAGTTAAATGATTGAATAGGTTTTTTAAAAAAAATAATAATAATAATAATAATAATTCTGGTATATTTTAAGTTGCCCGGTTAAGAGACACGCTATTACAAAACATGATCATCACAGAAAAAGGTAAATAACTTTACTTTCCAAAATACACAAATATGCATTCACTATACATACATTTTAGCTATATTTTGTTGACTACAAGGAACTGATCGTGTTTGCATTAAAATTGGTTTAATTATTTTATCTTATGTTTTTTTTTTAAAATAATACTGTTGATGACGATTTTTTTCAATTATTCAGAAGTGTCGACAATAAATCTAATAAAAACATTATAAATTGAATAATTAAAATAATTATATTAAATTAATATTAAAATATACAGTATTTTCAAAACTCAAAAAGATTTACACACATTCTGAAGATATACAAGTGTGGAACTGATGAGTAAAAAATGTCTAAGCTTCAATAGCCCATTGTACTATTTCAACAGTTAAACAAATTAAATACTTTGTATGCAACACATTTCAGTTATTTACCCAAGAGTAGAGAGTAGAAAGAAAAAATTATTCCAAAGCTTCAAAATACAGATATAACACACATCTAGTACCCCGTAGATAATAATTTTTAACATTGTTGCAAATCAAGTTTTATATTTGACCCTTTAGTAATCTTCTGACGTGTTTTTTAATGGAAATAATCAACACCCATTCCCAGAAAATTAGATGTAAAATTTGACTATATCTTTCGATGCATAATATTCACTAGGTCTGAAGACAACAAGTTTGTCTTTGAAGCATTTCTCTGTCAAAACCGTGCTGTCACCGGGTATATAGGTGGGAAAATGTTGAAATAATGGTCTCAACCTGTACATACACTATACCAGTTAATATTTCATTGAAAATATTAATAGCAGTTATTGTTTATGTTTTATTTCCTTTTGTTTTTAAATTTGTTTCTTCCGTTCATTGATCTTTTCAGATATTTCAATCCGAAATGAATTTTGTCCAGAAGCAACGCAGAGACACACTTAGAAACAGCTGCAATCGATTTCAGACAAACCACACCTCCAGATTATTCCTCAACAAATTGAATGGTAACATAGTATTGTATGACCCCTTTGGGTTCTTGTATTGTCGAATACAGAAGGTGGGATCTACTTTCCTTCGCAAAACAATGAAAAGATTATTTGCCGGATTGGAACACCGCGTTTTGCCAGGTAGAAGTATTCTTCATAATAGATCAGCGGATTTCATTGATTGTCTGGCAAAATCATCAAAGTTTATGTTTGTTCGAGAGCCATATGGGCGAGCCCTCTCTGGATATGTAGACAAACTGTTCGCACCTAATCCGGTTTATTGGAGGATAACCGGACGCCATGTTGTGCGAATGGTCAGAGGATTAAAAAATGCTAGTGAATTATCGCTGAGATGTGGTCACGACATCACATTTCCAGAATTCATGAAATACCTGATCATCTCTCAAACATCATTAAAATATCGTGACAGACATTTTTTCCCTATGTATGAACATTGCTTTCCATGTAATATCAATTATGATTTTATCGGGAAAATGGAAACATTTCGAGAAGATGTGACATTTTTACTGGATTCTTTTCATTCAGCTTTTGATGTTGCGATTTCATTTGAAGACTTTGAAAAGGAATCTGATTTGAATATAGCTAAAAATCAGCTGACACGACTCTTCTACTTTAGAAAAAAAACAGAATTATGTGAACCATTCCATAAATCACTTTTACGATTCTGGCGAGATCTCCAGATTCGAGGAATAATGCCTATAGAAGTCAAGATGCCGTTCACCTCAGAAGGAGCAAAAAACGTCTCAAAATCAGAAGTGGTTGATAAAATTACTAGTATTATCCAATCTATACAAAACCGCACAAAATTAAAAGAGCAGAGAATAGAAGCAAAACTGGAGGCTTTTAGCCAAATACCTACAGATATTGTAAAGGAATATACAGAACTTTATCGCCTTGATTTTGAACTATTCGACTACCGAACAAACCTGCGCTTTATAAAAAATTTAACCGCGTCATTTTCAAACGAACTTAAATACTTCGACATTTTTAATGACAAATACTAGTTCAGTATGTAGGGGAGTGTTTTTAATAATTTCAGCCACTTTGATTAAAGAGAGATAAATGAAAAGAAAAAAAAACATGAGGTCTAGCAGGCACAGTGTTTGAAATAAATGTATAAAGTTCAAATAACCCAAGAGAACAATACTTTTCTTTATTTTATTGACATGTATTTGAACATAACAGAATTGTCTGTCATTATGTTTCCTTTAGATACTTTTATCATTTCTCACAAGAAGTTTATTATTTTTTTTTGGGGGGGGGGGGGTAACTCATCTAAAAATGATGAAAGATCTAGAATTTTTTTTGACTTTTAAGGTAAATTCTTGAAATTACATGTTTAAAACTTTAAAGAATGGCTGTATTTGCTTGTTAAGATTGATGAGAATAAATCAGGAAAGAATTTTGTTTTCATAAAAGTGAAGACAGTATGAGAGAAGTAATTGAATATGTAAGAATTTATAAAACAAAGGGAAATGCACTCTCAATCACGATCGGAATATTTAGATACTTGTTGAAAGAAAATGTATTTGAAAATATATATCTTCTATATAGTTTGAAGTAACCTTAATCCAAGAAGTGAACAAGAATGTTTTTTAGTTCCTCGAACTGTAATCGGTGCAAAACTGACAATTAATAGATCTTTAGATATATGTTTACGTAAGGGTATTAAGTAGCCACCATCATTTATGCAATTTTGGGGGCGTAAATTGTAATAGATATCGAAACACTCTGTTTCTGCAATAGCATTTCAGAGAGCATTTTGAAAGACTTTTGAAGACGAAAAGAGATAAAGAAATAAATACATATTTTTAACAACTATTTTTCTTTAATTTGAGCACCAGTTTTGGAAAAAATTAAAAAGAAGACTTATTCATACACTATACATGGCCTGCGTATAATATGTACTATGATAATCAATCTTTAACATGTTTATTTTGTTGTTTGTTCTCTATAATATACATAAATACGTAGAAATAGCTGCATAAATCAATAAATTCGACGAAAGAGTATTTGTGTTATCAAAAAAATCCAAGTACTACGTAGTCAGAAGGAACTAAACTATATCGATGATTACATGTTGTGCTCAAGGGGTAATTTGTAAACATACGGTGCAGGGTCATCATAACTGTGCCTACGTGTACTATAATCACGAAAGGCCAATGGATTCGATAATAAGAAGCAATTTAAAAACTTTGGATTTGTGGTATAAAATGCCGACCCGTGGATCCATTCAGGTGGATACCACCTAATATTTTATCACACGTAGCTAGTGGTCCTTTGAAATTTGATTATTAGAGTGTTTTATCACTGACATTTTCTAGCATTCTTCTCGTGCCTTTTTTGTGAAAACCCTACCATGATTAATTAATCTTGCTATGATCTTCTTGCTGCAATGTTATGAACAATAACAGAAAGAGAAATCCTCCACTAACTGCTCCATTCTTTACGGGGCATCCCCAAATATCAAAAATATAAAGCATACAAAAATAAATACTTCTGCAGTATTAAACTGTTGAAAAAAAAAGTGTTACGTCAACCAAGGACAGGGAATCATCTAGCTTAGGTTTTTTGTCTTTTTTTCTTCAAATTTTAACATGATATAATGTTTAATGATTTTTTAAATAACATCTTTATTACGTTACGGTGGTTCTTTCAATAAATCACCATTGGCTATATATGAACCCCGGATTTTATGTCCCTTTTATTACGTTACGGCCGAGTGGGTCTAGAAGTGCTAGGACATCAGAAGGATATTAAACTTTCCCGCTCCTAAACTTTAAGAATATGAAAGTATCAAATTTCATGCGCGTTATCTGAAACCTGCCAAATGTGTGTCCGTGTTGTGCAGAGTTCCACAAATATTACAAAACTGCCCGTTATTGGGGTCGGTATAGTAATCATACAAAGCCATAAAAAGGTAAATGGGGATTTCTTTTAAAGTTTAATGCCCTAAAACTTTGAAAACAAGCCGGATTTGAAAATAAGCCACCTATTTCTTGCATTGAAAATTACTCGAAAAGAAGCCTATTTTGAAAATAAGCTGGTCATGACAATGCCATTTGGGAAAGATTTTAAACTAAAAAGTGTTTCTTTTTTCTACACGCAAGATATTGAACAAAGTATTATTTTAATTATTTTATTATAAGCATTCCATGATATTTAGGATAAGATCTAAAATGAAATGTCTGAAACTTTGATAAAACCATAAAAATTCAATCAAAGACCAATACTTTGTGTTTAAATTATTTTTTTTTAAAAATCCTTAGGCATGATAAAATATAGTTAGAACGCTACGCGAAGCACTAAAATACAGGGGTGTCCTGGAGCTATCATACTCTTAATCTGAGCTCAGCCAGAGGAATGTCTTCATCAGAATCTCTGTCATTGTCCAAAATAAAACAGCGAACTTCATCGTCTTCCGCCCCCTCCTCCTCTGTCTCAAACGTATAGCTGGCTATGTCCTGAAAGTGAATGAGATGATCCTCACTGTCATCTATCTTGTTGGAGATGCCACAGCTTATAAAACACTTCACCACAGCATCAGTTTGGTCCTTGCAGGCGTCTAATCACGCTTTTTCTTCGTTCTGCGCCGTACTTTAGTAGCACCAGTTGTTTCGCACGTTTTCCCCTTATTTAGATCAAACGGGAGTGGAGATTGCTCCATTTTTGCAACTAATTTAAAACGGCCATTGGGGTCCGTACAGTCTCTGCTCGTATTTTTTCGAATAAATTTGTGAAAACTGTTAAATGCCTCAATTTTAGCATCTGGTGGATTTTGAGCTCCACTGGTTGGTGCCCGGTACGATAAATTGTGTCGTTTTTTGAAATTGTTAAACCAGCCGCGACTGCATTTGAATTCAGAATCTGCAAGTTCGGCCGCACGTGATTTAAACCACCATGATTTTGCCTCTAATCCCCTCTCCCGAATTTCTATAAATTCACGATGCAACTGCCTTTCCATTTCAGGATAAAGTGATTTTCTTCCCGAACCATGTGACTTTGAACCTTTTGGCGTTTCTTGCAGTTTTATTTCTGTCTTAATCCATCGCCGCACATTGCTTTCGTCAATTCTAAAATACTTTGCAGTTTCGATGATACGGTTTTTCGCATTGCCCAGTAACAGCGCTTTGAAATGCTCTACAACCCTAAGTTTAAATTCTCTGTTATAACTTTTTCTTGGAGAAGGAGTACGTATAGCAGTCGCCATTGCCAAAAAACTCACTGTTTTAGAATTATAGACACTTGAACACTATTCATTTAACTCCTTCAGTTGTTATCCTGGATACTCTATTTTTCTCACAAACAAGTAGTTCACAATTGATCCATTACAATTTTTTGCATTGATAATAAGCTGATTATGCTTTTGTCGCTTAACCGTTTTTTTTTTGTATTGATAATAAGCCGCGATTTGAAAATAAGACGGTTTTAAAAATAAGCCCCCACTTTCTTACCAAAACTTAAAATAAGCCGCGGCTTATTTTCAAGGTTTTAGTATTAAATGACGCATGTTCTTCAACTATAAGGAAACAGTATTCATTCAATCGTGTTTCTTCGATGAAACTTATTCTGAAACTTATTCATTGATTTAGGAAATGTTAATAATAGAATATTTTACCCAGAGAGTAGAACATTCTACAAGTTTCAATTTTATTCAGCATTGTCAGTACATTTTTCATTTATGAACTTATTTTCAAAATTTAATCGCTTGTTTAGCTGTATATTTAAAGAAATGTCAGCTTTATAGTAAATTAGTTATACTGATATGATTACCGAAAACCAGCCCTATGACAGAATTATCCAGAAGTTGCTCTAGGCTATCATCATGTTCATGCCTTCAGTTAGTTGTTGGCTTGTGGTAAATTTTGCTGGAGAATCAGTCCTTCGATAGATATACATGTACACATGATATACGTGGTTCCGGGTCACTCATTCTGACATTCTGCCATGGGAAAGACTGGATCCAACAATATTATACATTGACAGTCATACCCGTTATCCATGAACAATCGGGGCTCATCTTGATACCTTTCTATTATCATGGACAATCAGTTTTCGCCCGCTATCACCAAACGATGTCCCCGACTTACTCTTTCGATTCTTCTCCTCTTTTTTACGACAGGAAGTATTTATATCTCACGTAAGTATGGTAACACTCTATGATATTTAGAATAGTATCCATCAAAGGAGTTTGAATGCGATTATATTTTCTTCCATTTTGTCTTTCTTAATTGTCTGCCTGTATATCAAATTTTTCTTGCATGACTTTCACAGAATAAGAATAAATATTAGGAAAGTAAGTTTGAGTAAGATATTAGGTATGAGAAGTTGATGTCAAATTATCAACATCATAATCATCATCATCTTGCATGCAAATCATTTACAAAGAAATGTTTAATTTCGAAAACATTTTGAATCAGTGTTGTGCCAAGATGTAAATTCGTTGTACTGTTAAATCACTCATTTTCGTGGGGTTTAATTTTCGTTGTTTCCGAGATATGAAGAGACCAACGGATTCATGACCACCACGAAATATAAAATGTCATATAAATAACTACTCAACAATTATTTATACACAAAATCCCCATAAACCTAAAGTTTTTCCTCAAAGCACGAAATTTGACCCCACAAAAATATGTGATTTTACAGTATTTTGAATTTTATAACTTCATCCAATTTTAAAAGGTGAATTTTTTGGGGGGGAAATTGTTTTTTCTTCAAACAACATTTCTCTCATAGTTTGCATAACCTGGAATGGTATATTGTCTTGCAAATCAGTCAGAATGCAATATAAAATCAAAGCCTGTGATGAGACTATAGCTCTTGAGGTGCCAGTGTATTAATCATAACGCCATGTTAAAAAGTCGATATCTAAAATTTTGTATTTTGTTGCAAACTAAACATCAGATCAAAATGAATTAAGGTGTTGCATCTCAAATGATTAATTACTTTATTCCATATATTTAGTTATCATGGCGACGCTTTTCATCTACTTAAAAGTCTAATATCAGAACTATGTATTTTTGTTGATAAAGTAATCAATTGTATCATGTTTTATTCAAATCAGAAAAGATGCTGTAAGAGGGAAAGTATGTTAAATAATTCCTTAAGAGTAACCATGCCAACATAATTCAACGAAATTAAATATTGATATGAAAGCAAGAATAGTATCAAATAAAAATGTTACAGACAAAATGACAAATGTATGAAATGCTTATTTAAATCAGGCGATTTGAATTCCTGCTAAACTAAAACTCGGGAAAACACATTCTTTTGCATCCCTAACCATATTTTTTCACATTTAATCAATTCTTCCGTACACTAGATCGCATCATCTATTACAATGTCACTAGAAATCATTTATAACTTGATGAATCTTCTAACAAAAAAATAAGTGATGGATAAAAAGGAAATAATTCCATTATTTGTAATCTCAACCGAATCAGCTTAGTACATAAGATTAAGGAACCGGGAGGGGGGGGGGGATTGGAGCCTGTAAATTACAGATATCAGAAGAGAGTTAAGTCAGAATCTACTGGGGACAATGATATGTCTCCTGACTAGAACCCGTTTCAGACATTTTTCGTTTTATAACCTTAAATCTGAATCCTTCCAGAAAATTTACTCTACAAAAGTTGAATTAATCAATCGATGGTATTCCGATAAACTCTCACCAGTGCTTTGAGAGAAAACACAAGATGAAACTGAAAAAAAAGCTTGCTACATTAAATCAGGAGATTTTAAGATTCATAAACGACCCTCTCCTTGCAAATTTAGACACTGGGATGGATTTCAAATTTATTCATAAATTTTGAGCATATATATTTACAACATTTTACATGAAATGTAAAGCTCTCAGATAAGAAAAAAATCTTTAACGGAGCAGTTGATTGGTCGATATACAGTATAATTTTCTTTAACAGAACAGATGATTGGCCGATATACAAACTATGTATTTTCTGCACCACCAACCATCCAGCAATCAAAGGATACAGATAATTACTTCGACAGATACGACAACAATGGTGATGGTCATAAAGCTCACAATGGCGATGTATGTTCAAGGTTTCCAAAAAATGTATGTATTCGAAGGAAGACTTGTCTTAAAAACTCAAATAATTTCTGCACTGCAATACTTTTGAATAATGGTATCTCATTTGAACTGCTTTTGACTGAAGTTATATTACAATACCCTATACTAAGTCCAGATTACAGGTTTCTCAGTCATCCTTTAGGTTCATGAGACAAATATTTAGCCAACTCGTCCAATCTATTTTATATTGAGAAATAAATAAAAAAAATAGAGAAAAATAAAATGACACAAAAGTATTGATTCATGTTTTTCTACAATATTATTTGACTAAGTAGACAATGGAAATAAAACTCACTAAAGAAGTGCGAAAGATAGCATTGTTCTCCCGCCTACCTCCAAGTCAATTTTCAAAAGTTAACACATTTGAATGATTTTTCATATTTATATAGATATTTATATGAATTTTCATAAAACATTACTTCTTTGGGAAAACAAAGAGAGGTAACTCTATAATTTGGGTAAAACTTGTGTTTTTCACTATAGAAATCAACGGAAACGGAAAATATTTTTAAAACATCTTCCCCCCCGTGAAACAAAAATTCCTTTTTACAGGTAATATGGACTTTCATTTCACAAATGTATACCAAAGCTTTTCGTGTTTCACGGGGGGGGGGGGGGGGGGGGAGGGGGGAGGGGACATATGTTTACAGACAAAAAACTACAAAAATGCTTCTTTTTTCACCAATTTCAAAGGGTTTTACAACTAAAACATTGTATTTTGTTAATAATATATGTTTCATTTTATATGCGTAAAACCTAAGAAAAGATTTAAGGAACATTTATTCATATCCAAGAATATTTTTAAAACCCGATTTCAATGGAAAATATCGTCTACTCCCCTTATTTAAAGAGCTGGAATTAGGGGTAATTAACTATTTAACACTGGTATCAAAATTATCAGTCAATTACGATTGATCTGTTCTTTGCATTCAAGGAAGATTTTACGGCCAAATTGCCATTAGTATTGAATTAAATGAGTGTATAATGTAGGCGGGAATCGAGAGTTAGCGTGCGTAGTTCTTTATTTAATGTTTTTCTTTGTGATTTTTAGCTATCATTGATTTGTGAATTGTTTAGTTTGTTAGTTGGTTATCATAATAAATGATGAAAATTCTAGAATTGTCCTAAGCACCCGATTCCATCTCTGGAATTTCCCGGGGTCCATGTGCCCTTTCACAGATTTGTAATAATTTTTTTGATATCGATCACTTTTGTTATCTTCACCTATTTCATTGCTTTACTTTTTCAGATATTTAAAATTACAAAGAATTTTGTTCAGGAAAAACGTCAAGACAGTATAAGACGCAGTTGCCAACATTCTGATAGCAATTACTCTTCACAATCATTCCTCAACAAATTGAATAAAAACATAGCATTGTATACCCCAATGGGGTTCATATACTGTCGTATTCAGAAGTCGGGTTCTACGTTTCTACGAGAGATAATGAAACAATTTTTCGAAGGAATGTTCCAACTAGAATTGCAAGGTCATAAAATGCTTGTAAATAGATCGGAGGACTTCATTACTTGTCTAGCAAAGTCATCAAAATTTATGTTTGTTCGGGAGCCATTTAGCAGAGCCCTGTCGGGATATGTAGACAAACTATTTGCTCCTAATCCGGGGTACTGGAAGGGACTAGGACGCCATATTGTCAAAACAGTGAGAGGATTGAAGTCTAGTCATAAATCACTGAGATGTGGTCATGACGTCACATTTCCAGAATTCATGAAATACGTGGTCATCTCGCAAAAGACTTTGAAACATCGTGACAGGCATTTTTACCCAATGTATGAACATTGTTATCCTTGTGGTATTAAATATGATTTTATCGGTAAAATGGAAACATTTCGAGAGGATGTGACACTTTTGCTGGATTCCTTTAATTCAACATTTTCTGTTAAAAAACCACGTGCAGATTTTGAACTGGCACCCGATTTGAGTATTGTTGAAAGTCAAATCAAGCGAGCTTTTAATTTTAAAAGTGAAACACAATTGTGTGAGCCATTTCACAAGTCACTTAAAAGAGTTTGGCGACTTCTTCAAATAAGCGGAGTCCTTCCATTAGAAGTCCAAATGCCTTTTAGTGTGGAAAAAACAAAACACATCTCTAATTCTGAAGTGCTTGATAAAATTAAAGGTATTATGCAATCCATACAAAATCGAACAAAATTGAAAGAACAGAGGCTTGAGGCAAAAGAAGAAGCATATAGTTTAATATCTACAGACATGCTGAAAGAATTTATAAAACTTTATCGTTTTGATTTTGAATTCTTTGACTATACAACAAACCCCTCTTTTATAAAAACTAGAATTTTTGTATCTTTTTCAAAAGAACTGAAATACTTCAATATTTTTAATTAGTTGATGTTATCGGGAAAATGATACATTTGTTTGTATAAGATGTACAGGTATATGTGTTAAACGGAAAGATAAAAAAAACTTTTGCTGACATTAAGGAGGGATTCTTGTCTGGTTTCTGACTAGATGAAATATTCAAAGTATATTTGCTTATATGTCTTGTATATTTAAATGTAAGGGATTTAAAAGATCATATTTTTCTTTGCTCATCTTAATTGTACTACTTTAAATAAAAATGGTAAACTGAGTTTGAAATCTTGCAGGGACTATATTTTTGGCGGAACGGCGGCGTATGAAAATGTCTCATTTTCTGCTTCTCAAAATTACTGTTGAACAATGAATTTAGTTAAAATTTTTAAACAATCAAAGACTTAAAGACTTAATTAAAATAAATGATAATGGACTGAAATTTTAAAATAGATTTCCCAAACAAACTACAATTTTGTTAACTTTTAAAAGCTTCCAATCTAAGTACAGATTTGAGCAAAAAATCGGTAAAAAGTGTTTTTTCTCTCTTAGTAAACGGTCAAAACTTTTTGTTTTTGTATCTATTTGTATCTTTATATGACTACTTTACCGTATGTGAAAATAAGAAAAATTTAAATATATATACAATGTACGAAGCATATAAAAATTACTAATATACTGAAACGCAAAAGAACGCAACAAGCAGTAATATACAAATATTTGAATTTTTTATCTAATGATTTTCAATATAGAAAACAGTAAGGTAGAACTCGATTTATAAACATAAAAGATTTGATAAAAATGTTAAATTCTGATCTTTTAACTTTAGAAAGTAACACAAGAAAGTTAAAACACCCCCCATTCATGCCATTCAATTACAGAGTGCAAGACTGCCTTGTACAATAGTTGCAGCTTGGTTTCTACGATGCAGTAGGTTCATCAACCTCGAGATCTGAGCGAAAGAAATATTCTTTGCCATTTTTAAATGCCTGTTTTTCAGATGATGAGGTCGAATTTTCTCTAGCCAAGCGCAATGTAGTAACCCTTGGACTTCCGGTCCAAGGACTGTCATTCATGCTAATGATACGTAAGAGTCAGCTGAGGCGAGAGCTGTTGCATATTTGCATCTGCAACTCTCCATCACCTTTATTTTGAGATTTTCCAGCTAAAGCAATGGAAATGCGTACTTAAGTCATTTTTAGGAAGCCTTGGCATCGCTTACGGAAAAGAAAGAAGAATTTATTTTTCGTAACATTGCTTCATTACTTATGATGAACAGATACAAATTCTTAAAACCCAATATTTTTGCCAAATATTTTGTTAAACATGCAATTTTTTTTATTTCTGTGAAGCGGACTCAAGCTTTACTTCCCGTAATGGTCTGAAAATCATTCAACCGTTAAATTACCAATACTTACAAAGTTGATATCTTTACTTTTTAGATACAAAATTATATCCTATATATAATATCCTGTATATAATATTTCACCCTAAAATAGGATGTTGCGTTTTTTTTGCGTTTCAGTATATATCCTAAAAATCTAAGAGGAAATTCGGATTAGCCAATATCTATTTTAGTTAAATTATTTATGTCAATTTAGTAGTATCATCTGATAGACCCTATATGGTAATATCTTTTTATGCAGAAAGAAAAACGTTGAATCTTTTGTAATGGAAGTAGGTATTGTATGATTGGCAACAGTAATTATTTATTCTTATGGTCAAGAAAAAAGATAATGACCTTGACCTGACCTTGCTTTTAAACTAAAACGGTCAGATTTAATCTAATTGATACCATCACTTAATGATAATGTCTTGTTGAATCTATGAAAATTTCATTTATTTTTTAAATACTAGAAATATGAGAAGAATCCCTCCTTAATGCAAATTTTGTATTTTGGTAGTTAACATACAGGATATATGCTGCTTACATTGTCAAATCTCAACAGTGATTTCTCGTAATATCATGAGGAGAGGATCTAGACCATTTGGCTTACCTATAGTAAAATACCCATGAATACAGCATTAAAAGGCATGGAAAAAGTAAAATTTTGACCATGTTTGTAAGACGTACATGCCAAACAACTTTAAGTGGAGGGATCTTTTGAGAAAATTGTCCCTCGTACGAGAGAGAGAGAGAGAGAGAGAGAGAGAGAGAGAGAGAGAGAGAGAGAGAGAGAGAGAGTAAACCATTATGAAGCTTATGTCCCATTGCCTGTTAAATAATTAGTATCAAAGAAAATCTCCCAAAATTTGCCCTTGCAATGTCGAATTCCTGTTGGTTCAAACTTGGACATATTCGACATTTACTGAATTGCAGACGCGTCACCGCAGATAATCATATATGACTTTTATACCTTAGAGTGACACGCTCTTCATATAACTTTATATTTTGATAGAAAAAAAATTCTTAAATACAAGCATTGATCTTAATTAAAACGTTTCCGATTTATTAAAACTAAGTACTGTCTTTCTGACATTTTTTTTCTTTTTATTTATTAAAATCGACATTGTGACCATTATAAAGTTCTTTATTGATAAATACAAAATACTAGTATGTCAGAAAGACGGTACTCTTAATGTTAACCTTACTTTTATTCAATATTTTTTTGTTTCTTGTTCGCATCTAGTTATATATACATGACTAATTATATAAATTCCAAAATACTGAGAACCAGGTCTTAAAAACCTACCATTTTTATCATTTTTTTTAAAAAAATTTAAATGTCTGTAAAAATTCAACAATATATCTTCCTACTTCTTTGTATGCTTCTATCCACGATTCTGGAAGGGGAAAACATCATGCCAAGTTTGATGCAGCTGCATTTTGTTTTTCAGCTTCTGTAATTATTGATAAATTGATCGATTTCTCAAAAATGTTTCACGAATCGCGAGAATGATTTCTTTCTACGACAGACAATGGAAAAGTTGTATGCCAGATTACATGTAAGAAACCGAACAAAATATACAAAATTGTCTGTAAAAGTAATCGATCTTTATATTTTTACGTGAACCATTTGTATAGGAACATTCTCTAAAGAGTTGATAAAATGCGTGTTTTATCCGATTTTGTAGGAGATTACATGCCAATCTGTGCAAATAATGAGAAGATTAATCATATGTGATTTATCACTGAAATGTGGACAGACAGACTGTAGCAGGACGCCCGGTGTTGCCAAAGGTGATTCGAGGTTGGGGCACCTAGGACCTTCTAGAATTGTTCCACAACTGCAGCAAAGTATCCTTATCTGTGACACACGGGAATCGCACAAGTCACAGGCAACCGGATGCTGGTTTACAGAGATCCTGTAAAGCAGATTGGAAGACCTTCATGACAGGAAGATAAAGGTCAGTGTCACTTTCTATGCTGAACCAAGACTGTTAACATGAGAAGCTAGAAACCCTGGACACCAAAACGCTCACTAATACGGCACATAAGCGGACTTATGTGCTTTCCATCAGCTCGATCACTAACCCTCAGGTTATGGCCCTTTGAAAAGCAACTGAAGCTGTTAGGAGGTTGACGACTGGGGGGGGGGGGGATTGTGTGAGGCATGGGAGCCAGAACTAGAGTACATGTGAACCTATGCAGATTTGGCTAGGTATTCTTAAGGTAGATCTTTTGTTTTGTGCTGTGTATCTCATACTTATGTATCTGCAGGGATCAGCAGACTTCAGTTGTCAAAGAAAACAGGGGGGGGGGGAGGGGGTTAGGATGGGAGTGAATTATTTGCATAGTATGACATTACTTCCGCATGAGCCTCCGCCACAGCAAAATTTTGGTCATGCATGGACGTACTGGAGCGCAACAGTAGCGTAGAGCTAACTTGTAGTAGAACAGTGTGATCTGTGTAAGAAGTTAAAATCAGAGAACCTATTGACAAAAGAAATATACCTGTCATCAGATTTTTTAAAAACACTTGTAAACATTACAGTTACTTGCCCATTTCTTTGACATCTTAAAGGGGCTATAATGAATTTTAAATTTCTATTTTTATTAAAAAAATAACTCAGTTTAATGAATTGAACTTTCATGAATATACTAAGAATTCAATGATCATGAAATTCCTCAAAACACCACGTCAATCACCTGTGTTTGTAAGAAGGGCACGAGCTCTGTTATTGTTAGTGTTTACGTTTTACGGGGTGTGTTCAGTTTGTTTATAGTCTGCATCATTCAGCACGGACTGACAAAAATCTTATGGTGAGTTGGTTTTGCTTTCTCTCGTTTCTACTCTGAACTCTCTGGATTATAGTTTTCGTATATTTCATTAATAAACAGCAGAAGAACAAGGTTCACTTAGGGCCTTTTTTTGGCCCTGTGTATTTCCGAAAAACTGAAACTGCTTAGTTTTAGTTGACAATGCATTAAATTTCATTTAGACATTTGGCGATTGCGAAACTACCAAAAATGACGTAATTTTCTGGCTAGTCAATGACGTCCTGAAATGTGTCATTTTCCTCATATCCTGAACAATTCTACAAAAACAGCCAATTTTCAAAGCTATTTTCGATATTTAATATAGAGCGCAATCTCTGATCTAAAATATGCAATTATTTACCGATAGAACCGTTTCTGAGGATTCCAAAACATGTTTTATTTTTTAGATCAGAGGGTGCGCTCATATTATTTTTCTTCTCTGAAAGTACTTAAATATACCCGTTTTCCTTAAAATTCAAGAACATTGCAATTCCATAAAGCTTGTTTTCCATGACCCGGACTTTAAGGAGAAAAATTTTTAATAGGAAATGATAGCACTAAGTATCTACTTTATCTTGATATTTAAGATGGAACATAAGGTATTATAGTCAATAAATTTGTATATCTACAGGACCATATGCATTTTATGCATAAAGTGAACCTAGTTCTTTCTACTTTTTTTCAGTATTATGGATAGTTTACTTTGTGAAAGTGCAGGGATATGAGTAAATTAATCAAACGCGTCCCGAAAATCATTGTTTTAATAATTTCCAGATAAAAGAATTTTCTTAACAAGCTTTTAATATATTTCGGTGTGTTATGCTCTATAGCAACA